ATCCTAAATCCAAAACACAGCACTGTACCAGCTACTAGGAAAGAAATTAACTTTATCCCTGCCGAAATCAGGACACTGTCACATTCACTAGTGCCAAAACTAAATGGACTTGATAGGTATGTGTGACTTAATCGCTTTCTGGTTTGCTGATATCAGTGATAAAGATTTTGTAACTAGTAAATCTTATCTTCTTATCCATCATTTTTAATTTGGATTGAAAAGAGGAAGACTGGTATTTTATATCTCCTAAATTTATCCCTGCCGAAATCAGGACACTGTCACATTCACTAGTGCCAAAACTAAATGGACTTGATAGGTATGTGTGACTTAATCGCTTTCTGGTTTGCTGATATCAGTGATAAAGATTTTGTAACTAGTAAATCTTATCTTCTTATCCATCATTTTTAATTTGGATTGAAAAGAGGAAGACTGGTATTTTATATCTCCTAAATATTCCTCATGCTTGAATGAATTAATAAAATAAACCAAATGGAAATGAAAAGAACGTTCTCTTTGTCTATGGAATTATGATTATCAGTTGCACAGATACAGGTTCTCAACATTTATCCAGTGACTTCCTATAGTCATGCTAAAACTTTGAACAGAGGAAGATTGACATCTCAGATAAGGTGTTTTTTAATTCATCTGATTTTAACATACTGTGTTAAGTTTGACCATAGTATGCTTTGTCGTGATTTTAAATTTTAAGCTGCTTGTTTTGCAGAGAAAATAATTTAAGTTGTATTTAAAAATAATTTTAAATTAAAAAGCAATTTATTTGTATTAAACCTGAGGAGAAGAGTCTTTGGAAATAGTTATACCCTTGCCCAGCCATCTATAGATTCACAGTTGTTCCTTAGTACTTTGCCTGTAATTCAAAACCGGATTCTGCAATTATTAATGCTATGAGGAAAATAGGGTAAAATAGTAACATCGAGGAGAGGGAATATTTTAATAGATCTTATGTATTTAAAAATTGTGACATAAACTTCGTAACTTCCTTATAATTAATAATTTTATAATATTTTTTTTCCTAACCTCCCTCTTGATCTACCCTCTTTCTGTTAACATTTTTTACAACAGTGATGAGTTCTTGTAATATTTCAAATAAAGCCAAGCAATGTTTATTTTCATTGTATTTAATAAGTTGGAGTGAGTGGGGCATAGAATTTTCAGATGCTATCTTCATGGAAAATTAATACAAATAATCATACAATGCTTTCTCTATTTATTTGAAATGGTAAGAGCCCTTTCCATGTGAAAAAAGGAAAGTGCTATTGTCATAAAATTGCCTGTCTAATCTGAGTATCCTTGCCCACTCCTCACCCCCGACAGCAGTAACTGTTTCAATACCACTGCCTCCCCCCAAACATTGAAGAGGTTAAAATAACTCTTTGTACGTAGACCTCGTTTTACTTGCAGGTAATTTACTAAGATGATTTGCTGAATGTGATTGTTTTTAATGTATTTGCAGGTACAGAAGCAAAATGTTTATTTTACAATCAGTAGCCTGTATTTCTTAATCACTATGGAAACACTGATGCATGGACCAATGCATTTTTATCAGCTTGGTAAGTTGCCTGTACCTTTATATTGTAAGAGGAGTAGTACTGCTAATTTTTCCACCAATACTCCTTCCGAGTTACTGAAGTAAGATACCATCATCTTCTTATAGAGCTCTCCCTGGAATAATTCACAGAATCAAGAATCTAGTGTATTATATTCTACATACTCCATTCTATACATAAACCATGATTCTCCTGTAAGAAGGAAATGCTTTGAAACAGCATACTGCATTTTGCCTCTCTAAATGTCCAGTGAACTCTTAGTTGGATGTGTTGTGTTTCATTTCTTACCCTAATTTTTTTCAGGACTCCTTAGTTTCTGGATTAGCAGGCACAACAAACATAGTTTGTTGGCTGAGCTGTAGCTGTAGTGAGAAACTGTTTTGATAGGATCATTTAATTCTGTAAAAAGGATAAGATGGTAAAGAAGATTCCCCATTCAGTTTACAGACCATCTTTATTTCTCCAGTCTTAATTTTCCAGGTTATTTGGTGTAAGATTTTTTTTTCTTGTCTGTGTCTCTTATGTAAGAGTGTAACCTACAAAATTTTGCAACTCTCCAACTATCTCCAACATGTTTGTTGAAACAAAGTTCTGAGGCAGTGTGAATTCTAGATGAATGGACTTTCATGTTGATAGGGGAGAGGCATTTAAAAATCACAAATATGGACAGAATAGAAAAACATTTATGTCAACAGGAAATACATCAGCAAGACAGCTGACACATGTGAGGTGGCTGGTATAAGAGAGAATGGCAAAAGACTGCATCTCCTAATCCAAAGGGCTTGCTCCAAGGAAGTGTGTCATTACTAGAGTCTGTGCACCGACACTCTCTGTTTCTGTAATGGGAATAGCCTTAATGTGCTAAAGGCTGTGTGCCTGTTGGGAGAAGGGAGAATTCCTGCCACAAACGATTACAAATCTGAGCTTGTGTTCAGGTAAAGAATAATAACTGTTAAAGTATTGCTTTGTTATTCATACCCACTGGATGTTTTTTCCAGATAGGTGATCTGTTATTATATGGCAAGAACTCAATTGTTCTACTTTTAACTGCACTTCTCTAAGGGGATGTTTATTACTTGGTAATAACATAGAAGAACAAGTGCAAAAGGAAGATGTACAAGCGTCTGTGGTTTGAATGGCAAAACGAAGCTTGGGAAAGATGAGTTTTCTGTCTTGTGAAAATATAAATTTGCTGCAAGTGCAACTCAAGCGAGTTGCTTAATCTCTTTGCATCTCATTTCAGAAGGGATGCTGGGAGCATAGTTTAATATTTGTGAGACAGATGTCTGAAGAGCCAGATTTATAGGAGATACTTGGCTAAGTATCCATCCCAAATGATTTCAACAAATTTAGGTGCTCAGGTGTATTTGTGTGTGCTTTTGTGTGTGCCCACTGCTAATTAAAGGGCAATTTTTAAGGCACTTCTCTGCAGCCTTAAAGATTCTGTGCAGATATCTCTTTAATTAATCGAGTAGGAAATTTTTCCTTTCCTCTTCCAGTACTCTCTGCAAAAGTAGACAAGGATCATAAAATAACTGCATTTATCCATTAGGAAATTCTCCCAGTGTGTCTGGGACAGGACAGTTCCCACTGACCCACTACTATTCTGAATCCCCTCTACTTTACCAGGGATATGTATTCTGGTACTGTGTTTCACATAGTCAAGGGTTGGACCAGATGACCTCCGGAGGTCCCTTCCAGCCTCAACCATTCTGTGATAGTCTTGCCCTATCCATTATTTGTAGATCTCCATAAAGATTGTTTTAATTTTTTTATGATGTATGTCCCAGATTTCTTTTCTCTTTTAATGGTCATTCTTACTGTGGCACATCTTGTTGACATGTCGGGTAGTTCTGTTACATTATTTGTCATAGTGTGGCACCTGAGAACCTCAGTTGTGGACCAGAGTGCTACTGCGTTAGTTGCTGTACAAATGTAAAGTCAAAGACATTCCTCATGCTACAGAAGTTACCATTCTAAGTGAGATGAGGAGAATAAAAGAACGTGTTAAGGCAGTAGTAATCAGCACAGTTCAACAGAGGTAGCAGGCCAGCGGTGTTTTAGGTATTGTCATATTTTTGGGTAGAGGGTTTAGGTGTCAAGACAAAAGAGAGTTCGTGGAGAAGAGTTTTAGGGAAAATAATGAAGTAATTTTGCAGATATTTCCATGGAGTTTGTCAAAAGCATGCATGTTTCAAATTGCACTAATAATTTCTTTCGCCAACTGAGTATGGGAGTAGGCATCTCATCAGTAGGAGGATAGGCCACAAAATGCCTTTAAAATGAGGACAGGAAATTTATATTTGTTGCACTCAGAAGGCAGAAGGGAGCTAAAGGATCTTGAGAAAAAAATTAGAAGGGTCAAAATAATAATTTCAAGAGTCTCTTGAAGCACCACGCTGAAAAGATATGAATGATGCAAGACTGGGTTGGTCAAGGAAAAGAATTCTGGATACAGTGAGAATCTGGGTGAACGAACAGTCTCTTACGGAGGCTATACAAGAAGATGTGGGGACCTCTAGAATGTCAGGATCTGCCAGAAGGCTGGGTTCAAGAGATAACTTGGGCAGTAGGCCTGACTGGCAGGCTGAATGTGGCCTTACCCACGCCCTGTGACAGGAGAAGAAGAGTTGCAGCATCTGTTGGTGGTTTTTTTTCTTTTCTTTTGCAGGCAGAGAATAGAATGCTGTAGAGTTAAACACCCACAGGGAAACATTACAGAAACAGGACACAAAATAGAGAGGGAGTTATGAAATAGAGCCTGAAATAGGGAGTTACAGGAGTTAGCTGACTGAAGACAGTGAGTAATATACCAAAGCTGTTAAACTACAGCCTTGAGGACTCCCCACGTTTAGCAAAGAAGGACATCTGTGAAGATGATTCAATGACGTTCTTCAAGCAGTAATAGTATCTTTTCCCAGACCAGTTTTAAGATTCTTGTCGTGACTTAAAATGGTGTTTAATAGACAGTGAGCTACCTGAAATATAGTCAGAATCCTCTAAGACAGTATTTGATAAGAACATCTTAAGTACGTTTGTTCACACTGAGTCTTGAACCTCACCTGGCAGGGATCAGCATAAGCCTGAACCACTGTGTAGTTATCAAAGAACTAGCTCCTAGGAGCCTCGAATTAATGATAGAGGTTGGAAGGGGACATCCCATACTCTGGGGAAGGAGGGAAGGGTAGAGGAAAGTAGTAGGAAGAAGGTGTGAAAGAAAGAAACAGTTCCACTGAGGGAATACTGAGTATTTGTTGCAAATTAATATTGCCAATAAAAAGCTAATAATCAGACATTGTAGATGTACAAATGCATTAATACGTAGTTTCATTTTCCAGTGTATATCAGCGTTCTGTCTACAGCTTGTTGTTGCAGCTTGTCTGGTAAGAGTTTTTATTGTCTTTCAAATGCTTTTCCTAACACAGTTCAAAAAACCTTGCATATTCTCACCAAGCATCGTTTTAAAACTTCATGATTTTTGAAGAAAGAACTTAATAGAAATACAATACAGGAGGACAGTCCTTTGCATTGTTGTTTCTATTGTGCTGAGCTCTGTTCTGTGGTTGCTTTATTTTGGGGCAAATACTGGGCTGTTCTAATTGCGTTTATTGATTAGAATTGTTGCAATCTCACATTTGTTTGCCATTCATATTGGTGGGTTGTTTGGTTTTGGTGTTTTTTTTTCCATTTCCAGAAAGATTTCTGGGAGAGCCACCTCACGACCTGCAAATGAAATCTTGCAATTTTCAGCACATTTTGTCCTGGCAGGCAAAAAGTGATCCAGCTGTGCCAACATACTATCGCGTGCTGTACACTGACCGCAGGCAAGTCTTATTTTAAAAGACACAAATTTGACTTTTAATGTTTATCGACTCAAAATACTAAGGCTGGGGTTTTCTTGGTTTTTGTCTGTTTTTCCACTCGGAAATGCTTCCCCCCCCGCCAATGCTTTTTTGTATCAGAGAATCCTGATAGATTATTTTGATCTTTTTTTAACTTGTTTTCATTTACAGGAACTGGAAGACTGCTAAACAATGTTCAAATATTACACAACTCTCCTGTAATCTGACAGATGATTTTAACAATACTTTCCTTGACTATTCTACATTGGTTCAGAGCTTCATAGGAACTGAAGTATTCAATTCTTCTGTGCTTCATTTTACACCATTTACAGACAGTAAGTTCTCTGTCTGCATTTGCTCATTTTAGTAGTTTTTATTGATAGCTGATGTATAAATGATATTCTGCTAGCTTTACAGTAAGACACTCCAAACTAACTTAGTCAGTAGCTTATTCCTTTATCTAAGAGAATATGAATTTGTATATAATCTATCACATATCAGTTACAAGACGTAGAATATATAGACAGCTTTCTAAAATTAGTGGCTACAGTAGTTCTGATAAATGGACGAGGCTCTGGTTTTGAAATAAAATATATATATATAAATATAGAGGAAATAGCATCGTGTCAAGTATTGACAAGCACAAAGTAAAAATCTCTTAAGTGCATAAGATACATGACTGGTTTTGAATAAAATATATATATATAAATATAGAGGAAATAGCATCGTGTCAAGTATTGACAAGCACAAAGTAAAAATCTCTTAAGTGCATAAGATACATGACTTAAACCAACATTGTTTTTATGTCTTCTTTGAGTAGTTAATGTTAAGAGTTAAAGAAATACCATGTCTGCACTAGGTATAGGGGAAGAGATGTACTTGTTTGTTCATCAACCTGCTCTTTTCCCTTTCCTTGCTGAAAGAAGGTGCTTCTTAGCTGTGACATCTTCGAATGCCAGAGGTGGCTTCACCCTTAGTTGTGCTTAGTATTCAGTTTTGAAGTAACAGAGACGGAGATTGAGGAACAATTGGAGGGCTACAGAGGAGAAATAGGTCATGTTACCTCTGAATTCAGCACAGAGGTAGCTGCTCCTGTGTCCACTTACAGTCTCAGAAATTATGAAAAATTGGAGGGGATGGGGAGAATAGCCACAAGGATAACTGAAGGATTTGAGAACATCCGTCTGAGGTGGAGGCCTTCAGTTGTTCAGCAGTCAGTTTAATAGAGAGAAGGATCAGAAGGTGAATTGACCACTAGTTAACAGGATGGCAGTCTTCTTCAGTCTTGTAAACAAAGCATAACAGCATGCCCTGACTGGAAGCTGAACCTAGATAAATTTTAGCTAGGAACAAGAGGCATATTTTTAATTGACCACTGGAACAAACTGTCAGATGCTCTGACTGATTGTCCGTCACTGGCAACTTGTAAACTGAAATTGGATGTTTTGCTAGTAGTTCTCTCGTTCAAACCATAAGCAATTGAGTCAAGTCGCGTTTTCCAGGGCACGGGACTTAGATGAACCCTGTAGTCCTTTTTTGTTTTACAGTGCCTGAATAGGAAAGAATCAATATTCTGAGGTATTTCCCTACTGGGTGTAGTTGATACCTACCTTCAAATACCTACGGTGGAATCTCACTCCTGTTGACAGATGGATTGAGCAAAGACAGAAAGGCTTCCTAGCAAAAAGCCAGGAGAACAACCACATTTGACTGTAACCAGATCTAAGCTAATGTTAATTTGTAACTGAAAACAAAAAATGAGAAAGGAGTAAGCGTGCAACCATTTGACTAGGACATGTTTTCCTGTTTGAGAGTAGATGAAAGCTCACGTTGGTTCTAAGTATTAAACTTTCTTTTTTGCTTTCTACCCTATTTCAGGAACAGAAGTAGTTAACAAATTTGTATTGCTTTTTTGAATTTTGCAGAGGTTGGTAAACCAGTCTCCACCTTGATCAAAATGTACATGCTTCTGGAAAAGACAAAAGTGAAATGCAAACTCTAAATTTTCATGGTTTTTTTTTTTTTCCCCCCACAATGTAATACACAGGAATGGAGGATTATGGAGATAGTTTGTTCTCACACCATTTTCCAACATTCCTACTTCTTTCCTGTGTTGGAGGAAAGAAGATCTTAGGCTTGATTCACTATGGAAGTTTCTCTGCTCTTGATGGATGTGTAGTTTTGGAGAGAGGACAATTAGCATGCATGGCTCTTCAAACACATACATGTTCTGAGGACCCGAACTTGAGAGATTACTTTAAACTCAATGGAAGTCTCACAGAAATGTAACTATGTTTCGCTCAGTCCTCTGCCCTACTGTCAGTAGAGTTTTTAGTCTTTGGAGCTCAGCTGTCAAGTTTGGACCTATAGCCTTCCTTGTAACCAGTATGAATATGTGCAGGGCTACACACCGCTGAATTTCTACAGAGATTCCTTCCAGAGAGTGACTAGAAGATGATGATGGGCAAGAAAGTGATCAGCTTTTCCTATACATTAACCTCAGCTTTCCTCTCAAATAGATAAAAAGCTCACATCTCTGTGGAGCTGAAGCAAAACCTCCGTCACTTTTCTGCTTCTTCCCTCCCCTCCACTGCTTTCTGTTTTTAAAATCTAGTCATGTGGGAAAAGATCGTTTGACTGTGGAACTTAAATGTTGCAAGGCCTTGTGGATTTACAACAGTGACATACTCTGGAATCTGATTAGAATTGGTACTGAATACATAGTGTATATTTTTTCCATCTTTTTTTTTTTCCTCCTTCTTTTTTTCAATAGCATACCTGGGACCACCAGAAGTTAATATCAGTTCCTGTCTAAACTGCATAAATGTCACCATAAAGCTGCCAACCTCTCACTTCAGAGAAAATGAAAAGCTACTGTCTTTAATTGATATATATGAAGAGCTTGATTATGGTATAACACTGAAAACACTTGATGGAGAGCATAAGGTAAAGAACTTTTGTTTTATTTGTGCTTTAGGGGAGAAATACAGAAAGCATAAAATGGCTGTGATGGTTAGCAGATTCACAGAAGCAAGCATGTGAGTAGAAGATACTTAGAAGAAAACAAAGAGAATGGCCAACATAATCTTAGCTTCCTTTTACTGCAGAGAAGCAGGCCTAGAAGAGGAATACTAGTTGTCCTGTATCCTTACTTGAAATAAAGCACAGGGCACTGGCTCAAGTGATTATTCTCTGGGAAGACAAGGGAAAGACAGTTTAGCTGAACCTATTAGCAGGTGTATGCACAGCTGATAGGAAAATATGTTCAGAAAGCAGTTCAGTAGTTGTCTGTCAAACTGGAAAAATGTGTCCAGTTAGTTTCTGAAACAACCTATTCTGGGTCTGGTACTATTTAAATTTTTTTTGTGTGTGTGCTGAAATAGAGAGGTAGATAGGCATGATTACAACTTAAAATGATCCTCACAAAATGGAGAAATAATCTTTAAAATAACAGGAGATAATTCAATAAGGACCAATGCAAGGTGTAACACTTAAAAATAATTGTCTGTGTAATAAGTAGAGTGGTAACAGCTACACAGGCAGCAGTTTTGCCAGAAAGGATGAGAGCATTCTACAATATTACAAGCTAAACATGACTCGCATGTTGCTGAGAGATAAAAAAATCCTATTTTTACGTACTCAGTACTTGTAAAGCCCACCTACCCCGCACCAGTCTGGGGTTCAGAAAAGGCACGGACCAGTTGAACAGGATCCAGAAATGAACAGTGAGGACTGTGGGGCATCCTGACACATGACCTGTGAGGAAATGCTGGAATAATAGGGGACTACTTAGTGTAAGCAAGCAAAGCACAGTTAGAGGCCAGAGTCTCTGAATATGTAAACATTTCCTACAGAAAGGGAGGAAATAAACTATTCACTGTGACTGTCACCAAAAACAGTGAAGTGAAATTGGCAGTTGTGCAGACTTTAGGTTAAACATCGAGAGAGACGTTAATACCTGGGCTGGCAAAGCACTGGAGTAAGTTGCCTAACTAGAGCATGTACTGCCTGTGCTGGAAGTTTTGAACAGCAGGTCAGACGGGTACCTGTTGGGAATTCAATCTCTAATGTCTAACTCATTCTGCCGTGAGTCACAGAAGAAGGACCACAACTTGCCTGCCATGGATATTTTCCCCCTGATTTCTGAATCAGAATGTCACTTGCAGTTTCAAATCTGTAGAATCTATGTGAGGCTACTTCAAGGGGGCATATAGTGACCAACAGTTGGAGACAGAAGGCAGTTTATCTTTGATAATATGATACTTCACAGACAGGCGTAAGGTAGGCATCTTGACATCAGCTAGAACTAGAGGTGAAGCAGCTAAGTAAACCGCTGAGTTACTGTGTCAGTTTTTGCAGTTTCACATGCTACTGCATTTCTCTGAAATAGCCATAATGTTTGTTCTGGTTTAACCTCAGTCGGCAACTGAGTACCACACAGCCGCTCGCTCACTCCTTTCCCCCACCCCCGGTGGGATGAGGGAGAGAATTGGTAGAGTAGAAGTGAGAAAAACTCGTGGGTTGAGATAAAAACAGTTTAATAATTGAAATAAAATAACAATAATAATATTATTATAA